CTAATCATGTAAATGGTTTCAAAATTGCAGGAGGATGACACCAAAGCAAGCTAATAGGATACTATCTGAATGTAGGAAATTATAGTCTGGAGATTAGCCTTCCCTCTCAATGCCTGGATCACACAGTGCTTCCGGAGCCTTTCTTTCTTCCTCTGTCTTCTTTGCCTCTTTTTCATGTCTCCCAAGAGGGAGCCCAAGCTGACTGGAGTAATTACGCTTAATGATCACCTGATAATTATAATGGTTCTCACTTAAGCTAATTTCTCCTTGTGTTTGGGGGTGGAGGCCCTCAGAGCCCGTGCACAGATCTCTGAAGCCCGCCAGTGTGTGTTTGAGATAGAGAGAGAGAAGGCCCGCTTGAAAGAAAACAGAGGAACGGAGCAAGAGCGAGAGAACGTAATAGAAGATAAATTTCCTCTGTCTTTCGCTTCTCGCTCAAGCACTGCTGATACGGTGGTATGCAATTATAGCTCTCTCTACAAAGCTGATTTTAAGGGAGAGCGACCCTGTTGTGCATTCTCATTTAAAGCTTAGCTGATACGCCTGCCGGAATATGAGGATTGATGATAGATCTGTTTTCAGTCTGTTTGTCTAATCCAGGCGTTGTTTGGTCTCTAAAGGCTGCCCAAAATCTGATCCAGCCTTGCAGTATTGATTTATGGCGGCATGTAGTGACATTTCTCTTTTCTTTGTTCCTCTCCTAAAACTCACCTTTTATCTGTTTTCACCCTGTTCCCTCCAGCTCTTGAAATCAATGTGAAATCAAAACTGACCTTGTTTACTTTAATAATACTTTTGTCTGGCCTGTTTCATTTTCTTTTTGTTTTACATATTCATTTGACTAATGTAAGCTAGTTTTATGCAGCTGTGCTTTTGTGAAATATTGCTAATAGTTAACATAGTGTTTTAATGCTTGTTAAATTGTAAAGTAAATAATATATTTGAAAGATAAGCTAAATACTAGAGCCTTAATAACTTGATAAAGTTAAAGGACTTAATAAAGAACCAGTTCTTTGTAAGTAGGGCTGCATGATTCTGGCTAAAATGAGAGTCACTTTTTTTTTTTTTTTTGGTATAAAATCAAGATTACGATTTTCTCACAATTCAGCAGATGTAAAAAAAAAAGATTAATATGAGTAGGCTATTATTATTTTTATTTTACAAACATATAATAAAATGATAGTAATATTAGGCTAATGTGTAGGTCTATTGTTGGTTAAAATGCTACATTTATTATAGAGTTGGAACTCTGTCTTGGTTGTTATTTCACAGTAAAGTGACGACATCAGAATACAACTATTCTCAATTCTAAAGTTGTATAATTATGTTTGAGACATATGCTTGTCATTTGTCATTAGCTATGTTTCCATCCACCTATAGTTATGCACAGTTTGGATATGCGCATAAAAAACTGTTGATGGAACAGCAAGATGGGCATACATTTTGAAAATGGGCATAAAAACATGTGAATAAATGAGTAGGATAAACTTTTAATTCGATAAGAAAATATACGCATAAACTGTGATGGAAACACTTTCACTTTCATGTGATTTTGTTATAAGAGATCATGTGGTGATTAAAATGTGTGCGAATGAACAAGCCAGCAGGCTGAGCACACTGTAAAACATCTGAAATGTTGTTTTGGTCATGCTAAAATGCCTTAACCATCTCAGTTAATTGTGTTATTTTACTATTAATGACCTCCAGAATAAAGAGCGTCTGTGCTCCGCATCTAACGCCTTCAAACACCACCGCACATTCACTGCATGTCAGGATTGGCTTCTGAGGCGCAAGTTATTTGTTAGATAAAGAAAATAATCATGCAGCTTCTCTTATCCCAGCAAATTGCATTTTTTTCTGTTGATATGTGGCCCCAGATAATCAGGAAGTGTTGATTTTGTTCTCTTTGACTCATTGGAAGCGCTGCTTTATTCACACATCTTTTATGCGATAATCCAGTTTTGATGGAAACATAGTTATTAACAACATTATTAGACAATTTTATCACTGGTAAAAACAGACATTTGTCTTTATTAGATTCCCTTCTGCATTGTTGACCTTATTTTTCAATGCAGAAGTGCGCTCATTTTTGAGGTTGTTTTAGGACTTCGGATTCAGACGTCTATGGGAGAAATCACTAGAAATAATTAATGTCAGAAAACGGTCAGAATACTTGCTCTACAAACAAATGTTTCCATGACTATACAGACCAAGTAGAATAATAAAATAATAGAAAAGTATAAGTTTGCAACATTAAGTAGCATAATAAGCTGTTTTTAACGTCTAAAAATGAATGGAAGTGAATGAGGCAAAAAGATTCAGATGGCTGCGCCCGCTCCAATATAAAGAATAAGGTTAATATTTAACATTATATAGGCTAGAGTAGTTATGCTGACACTGGTAAACATTTATTTTCATGCACAACACTTTATGTTTGCTATGAAAGAAAAAACATCAAATACTTGTCGTAATCATATCTCTAAAATGCGATTTAAATAATGTGCAGGCTGGTTGTCATGGCTGCTGTCGATTTGAGAAAAAACCAACCCAGGCTCATTTTGAAAATTTAGCCCTGCGGACGTTTCTGGAGACTGTGAAATACGTCCCGGAAGGTACGTATTTGTGCAGTTTTTGTTTTCGCATATCCGCGAGAGGCCGCTGTGTGCGATTTTTCACGTCTCGAACGCCACTCGTGAGCGTGCACCGTTCACGCCCGTGCTGTTCTCGCGTAAAAAGTCGCTGCCGCTGTCGAGCAACCGTCTGTCCAACTGACTGACTGACTGAATGACTGAATGATTGATTAGCCACCCTCCTCCCCCTCCTTCCCTAAACCCAAGCGACGATTTTATAAAGGCTCTTCAGAAAAAGAAATGCCCTCGTCTGATTTCAACGCATTCTCGCCTCGTTATGAACTCATTCGCTTTATTTTTTGGATTCTGTTTTTTGTCTTACCTGATTTCTGGAACCACTCTTACCCGGTCGCCGCGGCCAGCTCCACTCCAGGCCTCCGCTCCAGAGACATAACATGACGAGCTAACCGGACAAACTGGTTGCGGCGGGAAAGCCCTCCACACGGAGGTGAGCCGTCAGCCAGCGAGCACGAAGAGGAGCGGCGTCACACTGCCCCGTAGCGTTCGCTTGAAAAAACGAATACGTACCTCCGACCACGTAAATCGCGGTCTACAGAAACGTCCGCGAAGCTACGTTTTTTTTAGAATGAGCTTTAAACATACATGAAATATCTTACTTCCCAAGTGGCTTCCAAACAATCGCTCTGTGCAACAATCTGAACATTAAATATAACTTTATTACCTGTTATTCACAGTATATGCAGGTTCTGTTCACTAAAGTAGATGTCATTCACGGGCACGCGTGCGCCTTCTTGGTAGTAAACAAACAGAGCATCAGCTTATGTGTGGTTTTGCGACCGCGAATACCTCATTACATTAAGACAGAAATTACATTTTGGGGTAAATCATACCTTATAAAAACTGTATGCAACACTTTTAACACCTTTTGGAGATGTCCGTTTTGCTGAACAAGGTAAATAAAACAATGTGAAGACCGTCTTTACTGATCTCTCCTGACCTTGAAAATATAATTGGCTGAATCGTAGAAAAGCTGAATTAAGATCATGTGTGTAGGGTCGAATCGAGATTGTGATCTTTTTTTTGATCCATTGTGCAGCCCTATTTAGTAGATAAATTTTTATTTAATTAATGCATTCATTATTTTCAGTTCCGGTAATGGACATCTGAACATGTCAGTGTTATTTTTCAATAGTGCGGCCATGTTAGAAATACTATGTTAGTTCAACTGTGCACTTGCGTTAAATTTCAATTTGATGGGAAGCAGTTAGTGGACACAATAAATAGCTTTCTGTTGAGTTGCGTGAACAATGAACAGTTATTCAGCATGATCAATGGTGGTTTGATTCTCAAAGAAATGATTCAGGACTTGAATGAGTTAGTCCTCGTAATAGTCAAATGAGACTCAAACACACGAGTTAGTGTTAGTGGTCAGAGAAGATCTAAACATCTGACTCAGGCACCCAACCACAAGCCTGACCCAAAAAAAAATGGAGAAAACATGGTCATGATGATTTAGATTTTTTAGACTTTCATCTATCTTTGGGACACAAATGTTTATATATAATGTTTATGTATGGTTATGTTTCTTTTTTCTCATGAATTTTGTTAATCTAATAAAAAGTCTACTCAAGCAAATAAAAAAAAAAGTTTAAAAATGTTCATAAAAACCAGTTTTTATTATCCCATACCTGTTAAATCCTAGTCTTCCATAGAGCAACACTGGTCTGATGTGTTAATTCTCTACACAAATAAACATTGATCAACACACGTACATACAGCTATTAATTATGGTAATCTGAAGCTCAAACATGCTTATTTATCACATGGGAACAATCCACACACGCACTTAAGCTTCCAATTACCATTTGATATGCTCTTTATAAATTCTCTGCGCTCATAAATGTCAATTCAGGAATAAAGTTATTCTTAGTTTTTTGTTTTAAGTATTTTATTTTTTAGATTACTTTTACAGTTTTACTACTTTGGCTTAATGAACTTTCATTGGGTGGGACAAAGTTATAGAGAGTATTTAAATTATATTTTGATTTGTGTTGTAAATATTAACAAAAACGTATGGGTTTGGAAAAATGTATGTGAATATTTTTTGTTGAACTGAGAGACATAAGCAGAGCAATGTTCATGTTTACATGATGCTTCAGAGTGCTGAAATAAATCATTTTCTTAAGTGCATGTTACCGGGGTCATGCTGCACTCCGCTGCTAGTCGCCACTTAGCATTTCTGCTCATTTGCATACAGTCATATTCCCAGTGGATTAAATAACATTTTTCCCCTTAACATTTCCTGTTCAGAAACATGCCACATTATAGAGGGAAAATATATTTACCAATGCAATTTGATGTTGACTTACAAAGGTTTCTGAATTGCACTCTCTCTTGTTCACTCGGCAGGAGGAAGTTACAAGAAGATTGGATACTACGATATGACCAAAGGCAATCTCTCTTGGTATGGGAATGACAGGTGGATAGGTAAGGACACATTTGTCTTTCTCATCTCCCATATATGCTCTTGTTTATCAATGTCTGAAGCACTCTTTTTTGGTTTAAAGCTCCTCTCACACAATCACTCACATTATTACTCCGGCTATTCCTCTGCGTCCCTCAGAGTGTCACAGCTGCACATTCTTGGCCCCGCCTCTAAAACGAAGAGAACTGCAAATGACAGGCTGCTACGGGGCGTTAATCAATCAGTCAGTCAAATTCTGTTTAGCATTCTGTCCGTGAGGGCAGGCACGCTGTGGGAGCTCTGTGCGGCTCTACAAAAAAAGACAAATGAATGCCATTAGAAAACCGCCAGGAGTTAATTCCAATCATAAATTGAGCAAGCACACTGATAAAAATTGCGTGCAATATAAAATGAGTGATGGTTTCATTTAATCTTTTTAATTGTATTTGATGACCAGTTCACGCTCAGTGTTGCTGATGCTGCACTGAGAAGATGCCAACTGACAGCTAAAAACAACACAAATCAGACGCGGCCCAGGCTGTTCTCCAGCTGCCTCGCAGCACATGCTAACCTTGACTGGACGAGTAGGCACAGCAGCCTCAGCTGATTGTTTTTGCCTGTTATTTAAACCCTTGCGGGTTCCGAGCGGAGCTTGCTGTTTTAAAACAGAACCTTGAGCTTTGTAATAGCAGCCTGAGTTTGTTGGTTTCTAGCATTGGTGGTGCAATGCCACATCACCATGCTCATTATGTGACCATTTCTATGCCTAGACATTTCCCTAGATGTGCTCTCGGTGGGCTTACACTGTTTTAAACTTGCTTATTAGCTTATTAAAAACTCACTGAAGCAGCGAGCTCCATGGCAACTGTAGCACGTCGGCAATGCAAAATGCGCTAATTGCGATTTTCATAAGGCATACCAGGGGCCTTGTGATGGAACCTGTTTTTCATTTATTTACCCAGCTTGCAGCTGGGAATAATGCCCATAGCATTGTCGTACACCCCAGGTGGCTTGGAGAGTCTGGCACCTTTAACTTGTGCATTAGTTGTCGATGATAGATCTCTTTTGAGGTTATTACTTTAACAGCAACCCTTGACTTTGGCAGACTGTGAGTTGCTGTGAGTCTGCTGGTGAGGTGGAAGGTCATCCTGCCCCTTTGATCACAGCGAGGTACACAGAAATGCACAATCATCAAAGTTACAATCCTTTGGTAAATGGTGACAGATGACCTTTGAGGCGGTTCTGTGCCATCTGGAAACGCATGCACAATCACTGCACAACTTTTCACCTTGCCAACATGGTCACTGGCGCTCATGGGCAATGTATTCCAGGGAGACGGTGGGGATGTAGAGCTAAAAATAATCAGCGCTGTAATAAAGGCCTCTTGAAGGAGAGGGTGACTTTGCTCCAGATTGGACACCACGTGTTGACCATTCACTGACCGTTATGATTCTCGCTCTTATTCTCTGCAAAGTGAAGGTTACGTCCCCTCATATCTCAGCTGAATGCCAGTGGTTCTGTTCGAATCTTTGTTGGATTGTTTCTCACATGGAATTGAATGGCCTCACTCGTTCTCTCCTTCTCCCCGGTCGCCCCTGACAACCACTGCATCTGCGCCTTGTTCTCTCATCGCTCTGGCAACCATTATGGGTCTTGGTTGCCATGGCAACATACTGTCCCGATTCCACCATCAAGGACAGGGAAGAGGTATTAAACCACATGAGTTCTCTGGCCCACTGGATGCACGCACACATACACAACACACATACATACTTATACATTTACAACCATGCACATTCAGCACACATATATTCACTGCCTTAAATTTGCTGGTAATTTATTCACTCTTAGACACGTGGGCGTTTCTTAAGTGAAGCTTTAAAGAATATTTTTAGCTGAAACAGTGGTTCATCATGATTCATCAAATACAAGTTAACATGCTGACACTTTGAGTGTCAAAAAAAAAAAAAAACACACAGGCTCAACTAAATGAATAACACATAATACACTGATGTCTACGTTGTTAACCAATCTGACTGAACACTATTTTACCTTTAATCTACTGGTTATCATCTGGTTTTTGTAAATTGGTTTCTGGTTATTGTAAATTATGTACATTTTTGTACACTTGCCTTTCATGAATCACTTAGGACCACAAGATCAGCTGAGAATGTAAATGTTCTGCTGAAGAAAAACATTTATAAAATATAACTGCAAGCAGCAATTATCGGGGCCAAGCAGTCCAGTGGCCACATCATAAACAAGCACAGCATCAAGCTACAGAGCAATGGAAAAAAACTTTTTGGCAGCATGGTCTGAGCCATATTTGGTGGAAATTGGACTAACCATCTAAGGAGATTTCAAAACAACAGATTTTCAAACTAAATTAAGATAGTGGATAGGAAGTCATGTCAATTAGGGAATAGATCATATCAATGTTCACAAATCAATGATACAAGAAATCTGCAAGACCAGTCTCATGACAATAGACAAAACTATTCAAAAATCATTTGTTTGTCAATTTAACCTAGAAGTTGGTGCAAACTGATGTAGTTTGGTCAATGCCAGGTCTAGATGACATTAAGTTTGGTTTCAATACTTCAAACCATTGCACTATTAAACCTGTAAAATCATCTGGCAGCATTACATCATGTTTGCGCATGTGCTAAATGACAACAGTTTTGTCTATCAACATGAATTTCATAATTTTTGGGGTTCATAGTCTGAAGATGATCCGAGTCAAATTTAGTGAAGATTGGACCAACTCTAGGAGGAGTTAAAAAAAAGTATAGATTGAACAAAATCAAAATGGCAGACAGGAAGTTTGCCAGATCATGACATAATTGGTATTTGTGTTGTCGTAAACATATGCAGGCATAAGTTATTACTAAATTTGTAAATTTTATTAATAATGGCTAATGAATGTCTTATAACTCTTGACCGGTGGTCAGTGTGAGGCGACAAGATCAGACTTGTTGAAGATCAGACTTGTTGAAGATCAGACTGTCCTTATCAGTGTGCCAAAGTTTGTGCAAATGCTGCAAACGGTTCATGGGCTGCCGTAGACTCCCAGAAAGGAAGAAAAAAAAGAGGAAGTCGAAAGAATAATACTAAGAACCGGAACGGATACACTAAGTGCCTATGCACCTTCGGTGCTTGGCCCCTAATGAGTGTGTAGATTAACATTATATTTACATATTGGAGTGAACTATGCCTTTAGGTACTGTTTGAAATAAAAAGTGGACTATATGTATTAGGGCTGAGCAGTGAGTTTGTTAATGTTACAGACACAGAGCGAACTGCTGGGGGACGTACATAATCCAATTTGTCTGAAACATGAGCCATACTTTATAGTAAGGGCTCAAATAACTCATAAGATATAGTTAGCACGTATCATTGGAATTGGCTTGCCTCATCAGGTGCTCTGACAAATACATCTACTACTGGCAGATGGGATACTTGTGCTTTTTGCTGTAGTGAAACAAAGCCTTATCACCCTGCAGCCCAAGACCTCAGTACCTGAATGGTAGACTACATGGGAAAGCTAGGCTGCTATTGGAAATGGTGTTAGTGAGGCCAGCAGGGGGCAATCAGCCTGCAGACTGTGAGAGTCCTAATGCCCCAGTATAGGGAAGGGAACACTATGCTGTCAGTAAGCGCCGTCTTACGGATAAGACGTTAAACTAAGGTCCTGACTCTCTGTGGTCATGGCACTTCTCATATAGAGTAGTGATGGAAGCCTGGTATCCTGGCCAAATTCCCTCTATCAGCCCTTACCCATCTTGGCCTCCCAATCATCCCCATCCACCGAATTGGCTCTATCACTAGCCCCTTTCACACATACAGACCTTTCCGGAAAATTACCGGCAATTTTCCGGAAAGGTTGTATGTGTGAACAGGTCCTTTTTGAAAATACCGGTAAATTCGTTCTGGCTATTTTCCGGAAAGAGAAGTTGTAACATTACCGGTAATTTGCCGGAATGCTGCGCTATGTGAATGCAGAAGGAAGATTGCCGTAATAAGCGCGTCCACGTCTAGAACGTGCTGACGTGAGACGTCTGCTTTAGCCAATCACAACAGTCAGACGCATTTACGTCCGCGCGGTTTGTGAGAATAAAAGCCTTTGAATATTTTTCCAGACGCATTTAGCTGCTAGAAGTTAGTCAGATCACGTTTATATGTTCTTCTTAATGCCAACTGTGTAAATAATCATCGATGAGATGCTTATGATAAGCCGTTGTTTGTTTACCTTCAAGCTTTGCGTGTGCCTGTGAAACAGCCTGTGAGCGCCTGCACACGCACATATTATGAACATCGCGACATGAGAAAGTGATCCTGCGAAAGTTGTTCACAATATTGATCATCCACAGAGTTTGTAATTTAGTCAAATGTTTACAAATACAAGCGCAGCCGTTTAAAGCTCATTTGTGGTGAATGATGTCAGAATTTACCGGTATTTTGGAGTGGATGTGTGAATGCTCTTTTCCGGAAAATTTCCATAACCTCCTCGCCTGTGTGAACAGCGCTTTTTTGAATATACCGATAAAGTAGTTCCGGAAATTTTCCAGATATTTACCGGTATCACTGTGTGAAAGGGGCTACTGTCTCTCCACTCCATCTATTGCTGGCACCATTGACCTGTGGCTGCCATCGCATCATCCAAGTGAATGCCGCACACTGGTTGTCGTGTGGAGAGACTCACTCATGATTGTCAAGCGCTTTGGGTGTATGGCCTTACACAATAAATGCGCTATATAAATACACATTACTTACTTACTGTAGTGTGTTTAAGATGTGGTTTATTATACAATATTTCCATTTTTCTGTCATTAGTTTGAGCTAAACATACAAATTCAGAGCTGCTGCTGTGTTTATAAGGCAATTTAGCAACATAGGACTTTCGCATTTTTTGTTAATAAAGTGTAACATTATGATGTCAAAAAGTCATGTGATTCTAACCCAGTTTTGTGCATAATATGTTGCATTGCCTAAATGGTTTATTTACTATATTGACTTTCCTAGATTTTAATATAAGCATTATTTTATCAGACTACATTGGGCAGGATTTTAAAAAAGTACAGATTTTTTAATTAAATATAAATTTAATTGTATGTGATGACCAGTTCACGCATTTCACCAATCCGTAGATGTAATATAACATAGATTACTTGTCTTATTCTACACAATATTCATGCACATCAAATTTTCATCTCTGTAGTTTTTTTTCTCCAAGCATAGCCCTTTTTGCAATCTAATCGATTCCAATTCCAGAGTTTCCCTCTAAAATATGTCACTTTACGCGAGCAAATGGGTTGCCTACCCCAATTGATGTAGAATTGTCACCGAGACTGACTGCTAATATCTATGAATTGTGTTATCTAATCAAGACAGTGAGCTGCGAGTAAATGTGTTCCCTCAGCTCCACAAGGATTGCAGCTTCACACAGATCCCAAGTTAATTTTAACACCATAGCAACACTGCAACGTTAACATTCTGACCCGAAACACCATGGCAACCACTTTCTATTTCCACAAACCACTTAAACTCATGTGTTGTGCCATATCACATCCAAGGTCTATCTGTTAAGATTGTTCCAGCGTCAGTGGTGCTCCATGTCATTTCCCAGCATCCCAGAATTCATCTTTTGGCCATCTTCTGGCCACGTTGAGTTGGATTCCCCACTCTCCTCCAATCAATATCAGCAAATTCCACAAGGGATTTGGCCTTATGTGAACCTCTAATTAAGACTGACAGCCGATGTGCTTATCAGATGCTCTGGTGAGGGGTTTCCACTGGGACCGCATGCGTAGTATAAACCCTGTTGGGCTCAAGGAGCTGGGCTTCATAAGAAAAAAGCATCAGCTCTAGAGATAGACGTAACAAGCTGTGTGGCCCCCTGCCAATTTGTCACTCGCAGAAGAATGTAACGCTGATGAACATCTTATGTGCAGCCCACCCATCGATTGAAGATGACCACAATGCACCCTGTTGTCCTTTGTTGTCGCCAATTGGCTGGCCGATTACCCATCTGGAGGGAATGAAACAGTCTGAGATGGTATCGCTTCGCAGAGACCAGAGGGGGAGAAAGCTTTAGTCAAATGGCAGCGAGGTGAAATTCGATAGCTATCGTTTCTCTGCAGACTCTGAAATGCAGCCAGTTTATCAGAGAGAACGAGAGGCAGAGAGGGAGGTAAAATGACTCATTTGGCTCAGAAAACGGCAGCTTGGAGCTGCTTTCCTCTTTTTGATTTTGCTCAATTGTTTCATTTTTGAATATTAAATTGAAATAATAAATAAACATGATTATTGCATGAATTCTAAGTAAATAACAAATTAAATAAGTAATGTACTAAGGGCTGGGGAAAGCTTGATTCTGGTTGATTCATGAATTTTGTCAGGGGTTCAGACAATACGGGCATGTTTTGACTTTGAATTGCAGCAATTTCAACGGTCTTTACTATGGTGGCCGAGAGAGCTTAACATGCTGCAATTTAATAAGACACATGCAATTACAAAAAACGCCAGTGAGTTGAGAAAAGATCTACATCAGTTTGACAGCACACATGCAAATCGTCTCAACGCATACACATTTTTAACAAATGCACTTCATTTTCACACATTGCAAACAATTAATAAAACCAGCAGCATTTTCTCACAACACAAACATTTTACGAAAATGTGCTGCATTTACTCACAACACAACGGAATTGTTTGAGGAGGACCCTATAACGTGATGGACCCGGCTAGGTTATGGTTATTAGGGCTATTAAAGACTAAAGACTTCGGAATCGGGATATTAAAAGAAACAAACAAAAAAACTCACCTTTTTAAAGATCACCTACAACTTCACTGAGCAAAATGCTGCATCCCAATTCACATACTTATACAGTACTACACCCTAAAAGTATTAACTTTTTTGGTGACGAGTGTGCAAGCTTTGGGACATACTACTTTCTCATTAACAGATTGTTATGTTGCTTAGTTACGTCTCCTGTCAATCATCCCGACACATCATCCACATTTCTTTCATATTCAATTACCTACCTTACTAGAGAAGCAGCAGCAGGATATTTTGTGTCCGAACATATCTTGAGTTCAGTATTGTTGTTGCTGATTAAATATAACATGAAAACGGGGTTTAAACATGTTTCAGTTAGCTAGATATCGATTAACAGTCATGCAAGCAACTTTACCGAAGCCTTTGTACTTTACGGTTGGTCTTGTGCGTTTGCCAAGTTTGTAGTTTGTTTACACTTTTTACCCGAGCTTGTAGTTCTAAACAAATTCATGCCCAATGCGCAATGTATTGTGGGTAATGTACACTTCGAGTTTTTTACCGGAAATAGTAAACCATCCGGGAACATTTGGCATACTCATTTCAACATACTATGATTTGGGACATACTAATCCTATTTTCGAATACTATTTAGGATGGATAGTATGCAAATTGGGATGCAGCAATAGTCACGGCACTGCGGCATCCATCACATTTTTGGGTCCCCTTAAACATTTCCGTTTCATTCTTATTGTGTTGTGAGAAAATGCAGCATTTTCGTAAATTGTTTGCTTTGAAAGAAAATGCTGCGCCTTTTATTAATTGTTTTATTGCACGTGTTTTTTTAAATTGATGCACGTTAAGCTCTCTCAGTCACCTTACTTTACAGTTTTTACAGTCCGATAAACACCCTTATGCGAAAACCACATGCACCACATTGGTTTTAAAATATGTGAACCACATGAAACATGTTTTTCGTGTATGATCACAGGAAATCAAAATTATGATTTTAACAACACAGGCTCATACCCCCATTTACATTTCTGGAGAGCAAAAATGCTGTAGCCAGAGCTATGTATGCTTAAGTTTGTTTTATAAGCTGACTGATTACCTGTATGAACGGCTTTTCCGCTGTTATGTTTACACAGTAGCTCGCCATGTACGTTAGCGGACTTGAGATGCTAAGAGTAGTTGATCAAGTCAACGGGGTTCAAGTCTGGCAATGAACGGTTCCAGAAAGCAGGTAAAACAAAAGGCAAAATAAAAATAAACAAGTAAATAACAAGGGGGAGAATGTGGTAGGATCTAAAAACATCAAAATGAGGCAGCTACGAGGGCTTTTCTTTTTCTGAATTGCTTTTAAACACACTGTAGGTTAGTTTTAGTAAAGTGGGTGATTTGGTCAATCATTGATTTTGAAAACACTATTGGTTGGGTTTAGGGAAGGGTGTGGGTGGGGTATTTCAGTCGGTCAGTCAGTCGTCAGCATCCTCTGGTGGATTTACGTGAGAACAGCAGGCGCAAATGGCACTCGCGAGAGAAATTTGAAATCTGAAAATCATACACAGCAACCTCTGGTGGGTTTGCAAAAACAAAAACTGCAAAAAAAACATACCTCCTGGGACGTATTTTGGAATCTCCAGAAATAATGACCCTGTGTTGGATTTCAACATGTAAAACTCTCAAGTAGTTTTCCTGCAAAGGCACTGAGCAAGTAAATAAATATATTTAACAACAGGGTACAAATGACTAAATAATTCCATGTTTTTGCCAGATTTGACATTTAACTCTGTATGGAAAGCACCAAATGTGTTTCTCTTGCTTTCTCTCATATTTAAACGAACACACATTTTTGACATAAAGTTGCAGACCCACAAAAAGATAATATTATTTACTTTTAAGCATTTTTTAAGTTTCTTCTAAATAAAAAGAAAATAGTAAAACCAGATATTTTGTTTTGGAAAAAATGTTGCTTTTGTGTGTTTTTTTTTTTTTGTATTTAGTTTTCCTTTTATTTATTTTTTTATTTTTGTCTGGCTTTGTTTGTAGCTTTAATTCAGTCTTCTGTTTGGATTTTAGTTCTTCTTAGCTTAGTAAACAAATACGTACAAAAATATGTATAATATTTTACATTCATTCTCATCTATGAGGTGCAGATTTCCCTCTTTCTCTCTGGTCTTTTTTGTTTTGCATCTGCTCAGTAGAAAGACTAAATACACAAATCTGTTTTCAGCTTATTTCAAAACAATTTTATTATAAAAAGCCTCATTTCTCTCTCCAGGTTCTGGCCCACCTGCTGATCAGACAGTGGTGATTCAGAAGTTCAGATATCTGTCACAGAAACTCTTCGTCTCTGTGTCTGTTTTCGCTGGCTTGGGCATTTTAATGGGGATTGTTTGCCTCACCTTTAACATCTACAACAGCAATGTCAGGTATGCTTAGCTGTGAATGTCCATTTGTCTCTTGCTGCTCGTAAGCGTGTGTGTTTATATTGCATACCCGCATGTGAGTTCAGCTCAGAGGATTGCATGCTATGTGCATATAATTAACTGGTGTTTTTAAAGGTCACTTTCATACATTCATGCATTATGTGTGCTCACAAACAAGCTGGGTTTAAAAATGAAAGGCTAATGCATTAAGAATAGCAAAATTGTTATGAGCTTATTCAAACTCCACAGGCAGATTTAGAATACTGTTTGTGTTTTTAGTCTTTTATTGTGTTGATACTAAATTTTCACAGCAGACAGCTTAAGCAAATACCCCAACCACTCACAAATCTTGTCAAGCATGTGGTTAAATGTGTTACAGCTATTATCTATGTTTCTTTTTGTGATTTAAAATATGAAGAAGGTTAAGTACTATTCCACTTTGCGAGATTAAATTAATCAACTCTGAATTTACTAATAAAAATATAAAAGTACCTTGACACACCATATTATGTGTATTATTATGGTGCATATATAAAATAATAATTCTATACTACATTAAACTATTGCACTGTCACTAAACAAAGTTTTCACTTAATAATTTTCTGGAGAACACATAAGCTGGGTTTCCAACTTAACGTGAAACAAAATTTGCAAAACAGGAGAAAAAACCCTGATGTGAATTAGGTTTGTTTATATTAGGTTTCTAGAGTGGATAATATTAGTCCCTTTATTAAAGTTTACGTCAAATAATTTTAATCAGCAGCCATCTTTAAAACACCTCTCGGGCAATAAGCTCGGGCATTCTGTCTGAATGGGAAAACAACAAATTCTTCAAAACTGTTTGCCAAGCTTACGATTACATTACATATTTGGAATCACCAATAAAGTGAAACAACAACTGTCACATAAGTTTCGTTTCTAAACATCTGAATCAAACAAAATAGGCATATTTTCAGGTTACCCAAGCTAATGCGGATGCACAGTCAAAGGGAACGAAATCACGAAACCAACCTCATTTATGGCCGTTCTACACATTATCATCCTATGGATAATACTTCATCTGATTGTGCTTGGTTTTGATGGCGAATCTCCTCCAGAAATGACTCTTTGTTTACAAGTGTGTGAACGTTTGAGTAGTTGCTGTCATGTGATGTGCGTTTGACAGGACGGACTGTTCCTCGCGTTCATTTCCTACAGATTACAAAACCAAATAAATGTTTTCAAGTGCTCTTGGTTGATTTAAAAGCACATATTTCAAGCTTTATTTGAATATATTTTTTATGTCTGTGAAGCAAGTATTCGCTGAGATTCATAAAACTGTCGTAAAAGCATTGGTCTGGTCCAAGCTTTTCCCTGGAGAATCGTCAGTCTATAGCGATCAATGATTGGCTCCTGTACTAGTAGGCGGGTATCATTTGTCATATTGACTGTTATGCTTTTCCCTATTCAAAACTATACAAGTGACATGTCTTGCATATTCTAGTCTTTAAGAGCATTCACACATCCATTTTAAAATACGGGTAAATTCTGACAACATTAACCAGAAATGACCTCTAAACGACTGGGCTTATATTTGTAAACATTTATACATCACAAACTCTGTGGATGGATCAGTATTGTGAACAACTTCGATGAAAACATATAGAGAAACACTTTCGCATGTCGAGATGTACATGATATGTGTGTGTGCTGTCGCTCACAGGCTGTTTCACGGGCACACATAAAAGCTTGAAGGTAAACAAACAACGGCTTATCATAAGCATCTTATCGATAGTTATTTACACAGTTGGCATTAAGATGAAAATATAAACGTTATCTGACTGATTTCTAGCAGCTAAATGTGTCTGGAAAAATATTCAAAGACTTTTATTCTCATAAACCACGCGGGCGTGCGTCTGACTGTTCTGATTGGCTTAAGCAGACGTCTCACGTCAGCACGTTCTAGACGTGCACGCGCTCTTTCCGGCAATCTTTCGTATGCGTTCACACACCGCAACATTCCAGCAAATTACCGGTAATGTTACAACTTCTCTTTCCGGAAAATAGCCAGAACGAATTTACCGGTATTTTCAAAAAAGGGCTGTTCACACATACAGACCTTTCTGGAAAATTGCCGGTAATTTTCCGGAAAGGTCTGTATGTGTAAAAGGGACTTTTGAGTGGATGACTGTAGTATTGGTAACCTAGTAACCAGCAGTTAACAAAGCAAGCATAATGGAGACAGCTGATTGGTCATGTAGGTGTATTGTTCGCTACGTCAAAGTTTATTTAGGTGTGTTTTCATCTCACATTTTTCACATACAAGCCAACAAGTTTTTTTGTGAAATAAGCCTAGGCCTGTCACTATATTCAAAATCAACTTATCACTTAATCATGTTTTGGTGATGTAATATATAAAGTTGAAGTCAAAATTATTAGCCCCCCTGAATTATTAGCCTCCTGTTTATTTTTTGCCTCAATTTCTGTTTAACAGAGAGGTTTTTTCAACACATTTCTAAACATAATAGTTTTAATAACTCATTTCTAATAACTGATTTATTTTATCTTTGCCATGATGACAGTAAATACTATTTACCAAGATATTTTTTAGACACTTCTATACAGCCTAAAGTGACATTTAAAGGCTTAACTAGGTTGATTAGGTTAACTAGGCAGGTTAGTATAATTAAGCAAGTTATTGTATAACGATGGTTTGTTCTGTAGACTATCGAAAACAAAAATAGACTAAAGGGGCTAATAATTTTGTCCTTAAAATGGTGTTTAAAAAATGTAAACGGCTTTTATTCTAGATGAAATAAAACAAATAATATTTTTTCCAGGTGAAAAAATATTATCAGACATACTGTGAAAATGTCGTTGCTCTGTTAAACATAATTTGGGAAATATTAAAAAAGAAATAAAAATTCAAAGGGGGCTAATAATTCTGACTTCAACTGTATATCACCTATACATAAACAATTCCAGCAACATTTTAGCTGATTGTGCAACATCTCTATCTCTATTGGAGGTGTCAGTGTCGGTATGGTTAAAAACACTATAGTATTTACCATAAATTACTAGAATAGAAATGTATACTAGTATAGTGTATTACTATTATATTTTAATGTGGGTGTTTTACAACTGAAAATAAATAATCTGGTACCAGATAACGCTACAGTCTCTGTTACTTTTTGTATTTTCACTTCTTTGTTAACATGAATTATTCTTTATTTAGGATATACGTTTTCACATTCTGATTCCAATACCTAATTATTGAATTGTTCAATTGACTATAATTAAAATAAATAATGTTAACAATAGAATATTATGTGTTCTTTAAAAGAGTGTACTTGCATTTTGATGATATTATATTGTTATTCTGGCATTATATCATGGTACAGTGGCATAAAATGATCTTAAAATTACAATAATATAGTTTATTGTATTCTATTTTGGTGCCAAATATCACAAAAATAGACATAGTGACAGGCCTAATTAAGCAATTTTTATTCGAAAATTGCCATTTCCATCTCTAGTTTCTCATATGATACTTTTAAATGTGTATTAACAAATGGTGATGGAAACCCAGAAATTTTGGCTTTTTTTTTTTTTTTTTTACCATTTTGGATTCTTACAAAATGCCTATGCACAGGAATGATGTTCAAAATTCACAGCAAATGTGTGGACCTGCTCTTAAACATACCTGTCTGTGCAAGCATCTTTGTTTTGTAGTAATAATATATGTCTGTGTTGAAGGTACATTCAAAACTCGCAGCCCTACCTAAACAACATGACCGCAGTGGGCTGCATGATGGCTCTAGCTGCTGTATTTCCTCTGGGAATTGATGGGCTGCATGTACGGAACTCTCAGTTTCCTGTGGTCTGTCAGGTGAGCATACAGGAGTTCTGAGTCATTTAGTTTTGTGTGGACTATCCCTTTAAGGAGCCACATATATTTTTTTCTATATTTTATTTTCCCCTGGAGTCCAGTGATAATGATAGTCAAGGTTTCTCGCATCACAAAAATATGAATTATTTAGTTTTCCGTGAACGTTTTTCACCCTTTTCCGGCCTTTAAATATTAAACACATTTGTTTGGCCCACTTGCTTTTAGACATCTATATACTGTATTTGCCCTCTTTGCTTACACTTACTCATGGGTCACAGGCTAGCCGTCAGGCCTAATTTAATTTGCACTTTACTTCAATAACAGCATCTTAGCAATGGCTGGAGATCAGAATGTGCAGGTTTTGCTGCTTTTATTTATTGATTAGTATTGATTGATATGTGGTTTTTTTATTGAACCAACTTATGTTTAAGTAATGTTTCAGTCTGACATCCAATAAATAATTAACCAATAAATAATAAATAGGTTCTCATGCAATTTTAATATTGATACATACTAGTTTTATCATCTTTTAAAGTTAAATGCTGATTTATTTATTTTATTTTGTTGAATTAGAGTTATTTTATTGTTTTAATACTGTTTTTGTTTAAATATTGTTTTTGTTGGTGTTCTTTTAGTTTCGTTTGTGGCTGCTTGGACTAGGCTTCAGTTTGGCTTATGGAAGTATGTTTACGAAGATCTGGTGGGTTCACACTGTGTTCACAAAGAAGGATGAGAAAAAAGACAAGAGAAAGGTGAGTGGGGGGATGCAGGGTTATGTTAGTAAACAGATGGTGTTTCAATGACATTTTCAGCCAAAAACTTGACTTTTTTTTTTTTTTTTGCGTTTTATCTGTACGTTTAAATGACTCAAAAGATCATAAAAAAAAAAACTCAAAAGATCATAATCTGCACTCGTTGAATAATTGTGTTAAATTGTGATAATGCAATTGCTCAACAAGTGCAGATTAAGGTCTTTTGAGCTATTCTGTTTATAAGATTAACACACCAAAATCAAATAACGCAGGAGTGAAGTGCGTTCTTCACTATTGACTTGGGCCAGACGGAATCTGCAGACATTTTTTGCTATTTCTGCGCAGAAGTTTGGTAAAAAATCTGCAGATTTATGTGGAATGATTTTTAGAGTATCATAACTAAAACCTTAATATATGAACTAAAAGTGAATACCTTTTTAACTTGTATTTAATATTTATAATCTTACTAATACATAATAAACCTCTTTAACATTATTAAATGTTCATGCTACATCACTGATATGTGTTGATTTGCACTGAAATAATTTTAAGGTTGATTTTCATTTCAAGATCTTAGGTGAACTATCTGCTGATGCTTTCAGTAGTATGGCAATAAATGTCATGTAAAATGGCATTCAAACTCACATTATTAGCATTTAAAACTTAGTAAAGCACATGAGATGTACCTGAGATAAACATTGTCAGTTCATATCATCAACAGTAAATCATATATGCTGGAATAGTTGGTGGTTCATTTCATTGTGGCTACCCCTAATAAATAAGGGACTAGGTCCAAGGAAAATGAACGAATGAATAATTTACCTAATTAATTATTATTTAATAAATAATAAAATGTAAAACTGGACAAAAAATATTTTTCGTTCATTCTTTTACTCAGCACTGACATCTTGGGAGATCTGGTTTCAAAGTTTTAAAACCTATATTGTTATTGTCATCATGTAAACTACAAAAGCACAATTTATGCCATGTCATGTAAAACCTTGATGCTTTTTTTAATTGTTCAACATTTTGTAAAACAAAGCATGTGTATAGTTTTTCTTTACAAAGTGCCATTGCAAATGAATAGCCTAGATGACACAGCAGTTTTAGTCAGTTTGCTTTTTTGTTTTGTTTTTTTTACTTAACAAAAAAAATCAATTTTTAGTACATCGTTGTCGTATAAATGTTGCCTTAAATCCCACTGCTCTGGGGTTAACTGGAGGTGTTTCAAGACAAACTATCTGTCCTTTTAAAGCCTCATAGGAATTTATTCGGCTGACTTGTCTTGTCAAGGTCTTTCATCGCGCTTCTGGAACGATCAGTACATCATAGTGGAATTATTTATCTTCATAAAGAATATATCTTGTTGTTCTCTCGGTTATCGTCTTCAGATCTGCATCTCACTTCCACTGGCTCTGTAGTTTTTGGTCACCATCTCTGTGTGATCTGGTAGAGATGGCCCTGCCGTTGTCCTTGAGCATCTTTAAACAGCACATTTATCATACAGACCCATTCAAAGCCTCAGTGGAGTCACATGAGCCAGCAGTCACTCCATCAAGACACCCTTTCACACCGGACAAAACCTGTTCAAAGCAGCATAGTTCAAGTATTATTTAGTGAAATAGCTAACACTTTCATCAAATAGGTAACAATTTTATTGGGACAACTTCATTTTTTATGTTCAATCCACATAAAAGTGTTAAGTTAACTTAATCAATTTGTGTTGGGACCACATGAATGAATTGTGTGAATGTTTTACAGTGTAAACATTATTTAAAGAGTTAAATCATACTCTAATCCTTTAATCATGAACTCACTTTAACTACAACATGAGTCACATGAGTTCATTTGTGAATAACGACTACCTTAATTACTTATTAGTACAGGTTTGTTTGCTAATGAATATATTAATTTCCACATTAGTTTATGCTTAACCATCATGATCTCCTGATGTGTTAATAAATAATTATATCATAACTACTTAGAAGGGCCCGTCATCGTTAACATGTCTGTCTAATGTGCATGTCTGTCTATTGTGTTTACTCTGAATAACAAGAGAAAAGTATTCTGTCAACATCAACATGAGGTTCATGAGAGGTTATCGATGAGTTAATGGTGATCTGCACCTCCAAGTAAAGTCATGGCATAATTAACACCTCATGAGTTCATGTTGGTTACATTTAGCTAAAGCTTAAATGTTGATTAATACATTAATTAACTAAATGAACTAGCAAGTAATTAAGCTATAGCTGTTATTCACACATAAACACATGACTCATGTTGTAAAGTTAGTTCATGATTAGTTAATGTTTTAATTCGTCATGATGTCACTATAAAGTAATGTTTAGTTTACGGGCTGCTTGGTGGCGCTGTGGGTAGCACGATCACCTCACAGTAATAAGGTCACTGGTTTGAGCCTGGTTCAGTTGGTGTTTCTGTGTGTTGTCCGCATGTTCGCGTGGGTTTCCTCCGGGTGCTCCGGTGTCTCCCACAAGTTCAAAGACATGTGCTATAGGTGAATTGGGTACGCTAAAATTGTCCATGGTGTATGTGTGAATGAGTGTGTATGGATGATTCCCAGTTATGGGTTGCAGCTGGAAGGGTATCCGCTCTGTAAAACGTACTGGATAAGTTGGCGGTTCCTTCCGCTGTGGCGACCCCAGAATAATAAAGGGACTAAGCTGAAAAGAAAATGAATGAATTAATATTTAGTTTACATATTAATACATCATTATTCATGTAATGTTATTGTAAAGTGTTACCGTGAAATATACTAAAACATGAATATTAGTATATTTATGTATTGGCTCACAAATATCATCCTAGTTATGTAAGATTGATTCATTTTAGGTAATGTTAATTAATACAAATACTAATGTTCATTGTTCACAATGCATTCAGCAATATCTAATGAAACACAATTTTGGGTTTTAAAAATAAGCAAGATATTTTGCAATTTATCATTAATTTATAAATTATAATTAATGTATCATATATAATTAGCTAATTATAAAATAAACAGTAAATATAATATAATATATACTTTAGTGTCTGTAAGAATGACATTTTTACATATGATTGTTTTTGTAACATTGTAAAACAAAGAGAATTTATATTACATTTCTATTATATAAATGCTGCTTAATCATAGAATCCTGACAAATGTTGAGCAGTTTCTTGAACAATGAATCACATAAAAAGATTTAGTTGTTTAGAGTAAATTTTATATTTATTTTATTATTAACTGTTTATTGATAAATATGCATAAACCTTACATTGTTTGATTTAAGCTTGAAAAACATCTCTAAATAAAATCTTCATTCGCCTTCAATGACATTTTAGGATGTTTAGATATATTTACTGGAAACAACAATTTAGAAAAACATTTGTTCAGTGTAGGCGTCATGTTTGCAGTCATACTAAAGCAATCATAATAACTAAAAAAAGAGTCAGAGAATGAGATAAAGATGGAGAATAAAGGTATTTTCAGGATAAACACACAATGCCTTTTATTGAGTATTCATGAGCGTCTGTGTGCTAGTGGAGAAGAGCTTGTCATGTGCCACTCTGGAGCTCTTCGCATTTACACAAAGAAAGGATTCAAAGACTGAGAAACAATCTATGATGTGCAGTAAGGCATTGAATTGACAGCTTTGTCATTTTCAAATCTGCTTCTTTGACTGGTGCATCACTGTTGAGAATTCTCCATTTTTTAACCAACAAAATAAGTGTCAGTAAGTTTGTTTGAAGTGGCATTTTCAGAGTCATTGTCAGGAATATTAAAGGGAGGAATTGGAATAAAGAATAGGTTCAGGATTTCTGCAGACCATAAAATGGAAAGAAAGATTTGGGACAAACATTCTATTTTAAGAAGAAAAAAGGAGAAGTCTGTTATGGGTATTTCATTGTGTGAGGAAATCATAAAAGGTATCCACTGCAAAAACTATAAAAATGTGTTTTATTCTGTTTATGCAATTTGTTAAAGGACTGTTTCAGGTTTGACACAAGTCAAGTTCCTCAGATGATCTCAGAACTAAAACAATAAAAACCTATAAGGAAAATTAGCCTTGAGATTAATTACACACAATTTTTCCAAGTTTATATAATTAATGTATTTATTCAGCAAGGATGCACTAAATTGATTAAAAAAAAAAAAAAGAATGTTATTTAATTTTATTTTTTTTATACTTTGGTCATCACCAGAATCGTAATAAAAAAAAAATTTTAACAGTGTTCAGAAATCACAAAACTATTAAGCAGCACAGCTTTGATAACAATAGATTTCTCAAAGGTTTCTGGAGAATTGTTGAACAAAACTGACTGAAGTCCTGCATTTTACAGGGTGTCTGAAAAAGTTATAGTAAGTCTTAAAATGTCTTAAATTAAAAAACCTAATAATAATTTAAGGCCTTAAAAAGTCTTAAATTCACTGATATATTGGGTTGTAGATCTTAAATAATTTTAAACAGGTAATGATTTTCCTATGTCCAGGTAAATGCTATGTAAAGCTACCCCATCGAGCTGACACCCAATCACCAATAATCCATTTTAAAAATTTCTTTTTATCTATTTAAGTTTTTTTTGTTTTTTTGTTTTTTTTAACAAAGAAAGACAATTTACAACAACTGTTGGACATTTTTACTGCAAATTCTCCTAATTAAATTCCCTAATCTGGGAAAGAAAACTAAAGCAACACATTCCTTTTTAATGATCTTTCATTAATACAAAAACTATTTACAGAAGTATTTGGCCCATTAGAAAAAATCTTTAATGTTTAGCCCTGTATAAGTCTAAATTTTCATTCATGATGGTCTTAAAGAGTGTTTAAAAATCTTAAATTTGACTTGAAGAAACCTGCAGAAACCCTAATTTTAATTTTAAAATATACTAAAATGAAAAAGTCTTTAAAATTATAATAATACTTTATTATTACATTCTTACTATATATTTGATCAACTAAATGCAACCTTGATGAACATTTTCACTAAGCAATTTTATATTTTATATTTTTTTATCTGCTGTTTGACATTAAACATTTTTCAGCACTAAGCCCCTATACAGCTTTCGTGCAGTATGATAACGTATGTTAAATGTGCAGTATATAAAATGAGGTCTTTAGATGAAGAACTGTATAAGTCTATATTTTAACATTTTAAGCAATAAGATATTTATTTATTTATTTATTTAATTTTTTTGGACTGGGAACATTATATTGTACATTTTTTATTTAACCTGAAGATAGACAACAAAAGCTTCTCAATTCCAAAGAGATAACATTTTTCAGTGCCATTAAAATCAAAAGTTATTATGATTTATATTTCTCAAATGTGGAAGAAGGGTATATGTCCAGTTAGTGTGGAATAACAGTATAACTCTAATTAATCATATCACTTTAAACCACTAATGATCGGATTCCTCCTTTATCTTAGTTTTAATACAGTACCAGAAACATCAGGTTAAAACTGACCATTTCAAGTAATATGAACAATGTACAATACATTGACCTTGTTACAATAGAGTCAATAACAGTCAATTATTAACAATAAACAATAAATAAATACAACATCAAAAATACATAAAATGCAGACATACATCAAAGCTAAATATTGTTGTTTATTTAGAAATAAACGCACCTGTGCATATGCTACTTCAAACTGTTCTCGCACTCTGCCATCTCACGATATAAATAAATATGTAAACAAAGAAACTCTGCTTGTCGTAGTTTACACAGGACTGACGGGAAATGTGCATTTATACAGCTTTATTGTAAATGGTATGTGGTTTATTTTGATAGGTTAACTGTTTTTATGCTCTTTAGCTCTCTTTCGGTGGGTCTTTCTGTTGTTTTTGTTCGTTTTTTTGATTCAAATATGGTTTCCCAGCATCCCTCAAAGCCTTTCTTTCTCTGTTCTTCCACTCGTTCATGTCTGCTACTATATATATATTTTTTTTGCAGAGGATTGGCCTTTTATGTCCGAAGTGCACATGACAGCAAGCAGCATCTCTATTCTTCTTATTGGACATAAACGTTTTTTTTTTCCATGTAAAGCTATTTTAATGTTTAAAATGCAGACTCTTGGTCATGCAAAAAAATAGATCCCCAAACTGTTTCTGTATACAAAATTTACACATACATTTAATGTCACAAGGTTATTGATTCATTTTCTTTTCGGCTTAGTCCCTTTATTAATCAGGGGTCGCCACAGCAGAATGAAACGATAACTTATCCAGCATATGTTTTACACAGCGGATGCCCTTCCAGCAGCAACCCAACACTGGGAAACACCCATACACTCTTGCATTCACGCACATAAACTAAGACCAATTTAGCTGTTTTAATTTACCTGTGTTTGGACTGTGAATGAAACCAGAGAACTCGGGGGAAACGCACGCAAATACATGGGGAGAACATGCATACTCCACACAGAAATTCCAACTGACCCAGCCGGGACTCAAACCAGCAGCTTTCTTGCTGTTAGGTGATCTTGCTACTCACTGCGGCACCATGTCGCCCATCACAAGGTTATCTCATTTTTTATTTTTTTGGAATTAAACGGTTGTTCATTCCACGCACACAAATAATACAAAACCAGAAGCTCATCCACCTAAAAAAAGAGTTACCACTAGTTACCACTAAAACTTTATAGAAGTATCACATTTTTCCTTTAAAACCACACAGAATCTGCCTCTGCTAATTCAAGTATATTCCTTATCATTGTGAAAACAGACGCTTGAGTCAAAGTTCTGTGTTAATCAATAGCAGGCCATATATAGAGCTTAACTTGTTTTGAACCTGGAAAATTCCTTGAGTCAGTCGTCTGGCTATGTACGCGTTCTTTCATCCCCCGCCGTCATGAAGGTATGTTTGAGGTTTATGAGCTCTCAAAAGTGGAGATAAGAGAACATAAACGCTTTTTATGTCGCTCTTTAAATAAACGCTTTTTATGTTTAATTGCTCACAAACACCATCCTCGCTACGAAAAAAAAAGAACGAGTATTGATTTTCTCACAGCGTTATGGCCTCAGCAGAAATCCATTAAGGACACTTTCCTTACTTAAACCATAAAAAGCGGCCACCGTGTGGCAGATTGAATTGGCATCCTGATAATGGTCTATTGTTTCCCCTTCGAGCTCTCTGCACTTTCACTCCTTATGATGTCATGAATCACCGCACAAGCTGTTTCTTCCACTGTCCTGCGTGGAAGCTTGATTGGTGGTGTTTTTATATCCCAGCAGCACCTGGAGCCCTGGAAGCTCTACGCCACCGTCGGGGTCCTGCTGGTAATCGACATCCTGTCTCTTATGATTTGGCAGATCGTGGACCCCTTGCATATCACAGTCGAGGTATGGCAGCATGCACCCTCAGAATGTGTTTTCTCCAAATGTGCTTCAGTTGGATTCATTGTTTTTAGTTTTAAGGTGTATGTGAACGAAATATGAACTTTTCTCTTTTGGTCTGAGCAGAAGTTCACCAAAGAAGCTCCCAAAGGCGATGTGGATGAGTTGATCGAGCCTCTGCTGCAGCACTGCAGTTCAGAGAAGATGAACACATGGCTTGGTAAGAGCTGCTTTGACTTTAAATAACACATTTTTAATGAACAAGATAAAGTGCAAAACACAATAATGGAATAAGTCCACTCTTCTACATGAAACCTTGTGCATCCTCATGGACAATTTTGTCTTGTTAAAAAAAAAAATCTTTTTGGCTTTGTCAAGCCAAACATTATATATTTTGTCCAAAAAAAGGTGTATTTGTGTTAAGCTTGTAATATTTTATAAATGCAAAAACAGGATCTTCAGGGCAAAAAATGCAGTATTTCATCGTAGTGGAATTTAAAAAGGTGGTCCACTGTGAAAAAAAACTGTGAATAAAAACCAGCTTTTTATTCACCAACCACCTGTAATCTAGTTTAGCCCAGCTCTATCTGTGCTGCTTAGGGCTTCCTCAGGCATATTCAAATCAAGTCACTGAAGTGGAAAGCAGGCAGTAAACAGAATTTTCTTTCAAAGAGATGTTTGTGTACATTTTCAAGTGATCATGCTGGCACTGATTCATCAAGCGATGATTAAATGATATGTTATAAGCAGCGTATATCCAGATGCGCAGTGTAGTCAAGCACACTTTAGACTCTTTAAAGAGCCGATTGAGGTGTCTGGAACACGCTAGAGGACTGATGATGTATATTACTGATGAGGAAGAAATATGACAGATTCCCCTGTGAAAAACAAGTGTGCTTAAGCGTACCAATTGCGCACTTGTAGTGTACTTCAGACATCTCCAAGAATGTTTTAATTAAGTATATAAAAACTGTATGTGCAGATCGAATCATAATAATGAAATCAAAGGCATTCTACCATAAGAGTACTTCTCAGTTTTTTAAACACAATGTAAAGGGACAGTTTTCCCAAAAAATGAATGTCATTTACTCATAATTCACTTGTCACTTGTAATTCTTTATTCTGTTGAACATGGGAAGATTTTCTAAAGAAAGCCATTGACGTCTATAGTATTATTTCCATAGTCACTATTATGGAAGTCAAGGATTGCTGAATTTCCAGCTTTCTTAAAATTTGTTCTTTAAGGTTCAGCAGAAAAACAAAAAATAGAAAGGTTTGGAACTACTTAAGGGTGAGTCAATAATGAGTAAAGTTTCATTTTTGGATGAACTATCCCTTTAAGTACAAAATGTGGTTTAAATTTCCACTTTGTAATGCCAAATTTAAGGTGTTTAATCTTTTAATCATCTTTAGCAATGCTTTAAAGGCGTACATTTATTTTGATGAGTCGCCTAGCTTGTCCATGTAAAGTACTTGGTTATCATTTTAGTACAGTGTGTTATTCAACGGTAAATTTAATTTAAAGTATTCTAACATTTAATACAGCGTTTAAAAGTATGTAGTAAGTTCTATTTAGGTCTGAAAAATATTTTATAAATAAATGTACACAGGGTATTTTATGAATAATGCATGTTTGAAAACTCAACATTCAGAGATGAACCACAACACAATAGGGCCTAATCCCAATTCTACTTCTTTGCCCTTTCGCCAATTCTCTTTAGCTTGAAGGCGTAGGGCTAAAGGGAAGGGCTTGATAAAAAAAAAATAATAATTAAAAAAATAAAAAAACTGATTTTTCAGAACCACGTTTGAAACCAAGGGGTATGAAAATTTCCCAGAATACACCATCTACAACGGCAGCATGGCTGCACACGGAAGTCAGGAGATGAAAAAATTAGTTGTTGTTTTTTTCATTATCACGAAGTTTTACAACAAACAATCAAAAGTTTTCATGCATTCATAACCAGTGTTGGGAAAAGTTACTTTTGAAAGTAGTGCATTACAATGTGGGGTTACTCCCTAATAAAGTAATTAATTGCATTACTTAGTTCCTTTTTATGGAAAGTAATGAGTTATATTTGATACAGATATACAGTTTTGTTTTTTAGTTTTTTTTCTGATGTCGTGTTTCTTCCAATTGTCAAGAGTTTTCTTTGATGAGTTCAAAATAATAAGAATCTATTGCAAAATGTTAGTCTCTGCCTGCCATTGTTTCGGTTTCTGACCGGCTGAAGTGATGACGGGCTATTTGCGAATGAATCGTTTGTTTTAAACGCATATTTTATGTGAATCGGTCAAACCAGTTAATTAAATTGAACTTGGTTGTTGTGAAACGGTGTGTGTCTTCAGTAAGTATTTAATTACTTCTTTTTTAACATACCAGATACCCCCTCTGACTCGAAATAAACCAATATCCTTAGATATTTAATTAGTAGAACAGTACAATGACTCATCTCCTGTGAAAAAGAGACCTGATGATGATAATGATGAGTGCGAGCCGACTCTGTTCTCTCTCAGCAGTGTGTGATGCAACCAGACTAAGGTCATTTTTATTCCACAATATATTTTCTAAAAGCTAGTTAAGCAAAGTAAACGGTAACTCGCATTACATTTTTTAAGTAACTCAAACAATATTACTTTATTGTTAAAAGTAATGCGTTACTTTGCTCGTTACTTTAGAAAAGTATTATTATTACGTAACGTGTGTTACTTATAACGCGTTACCTCCAACATTGTTCATAATGGCGGTCGTGTTTTACCACCATGCTTTAAAAAAAACACAATCTATAATCTATAATCCCTAATTACTCCTATATAGTAGTCCCACAACATACTTTTACATCTGTCACTCAATGACACTCGAATACTTTGTCAGAAAAGTCTAGTGACTGGGAATGAGCTTTTTACAGTATAACACAAATGTTGATTTATGTGTTTACATAGATGAACATGGCCACAGTGTAAATACACAGTACAGTTACGATCTTATTGCCACATTATATTATTCTGATAACATAATATCGTTGCCTTCAGTGATTTCCTGAAGATAACTACCAAAAAAATAACACAACTGGAATTACATCAGTTGCTATCGTTAATCTCATATGAAGTAAGAGATCCCGATGACACACGATGACGTTTGCAGGTGTTGTAGTGCTGTCCTATTTCTTTGGGGTAAATTTTGAACCAAGGGGAAGGGCTACAAAAATAGAATTGGGATTGGGCCTAAATAACTGTGCAAATTGAGGTCATTAAATATATTTGTTGTATTTTTTTTTGTTGTGTTTGCATCATTACCTGATTTGCATAATTCATATAATGAATCACATTAAACAATGCAGACAGTGAATGCAAATAATTAACACTAGCACCAGGTGTATCATTATTCTGCTATTCTTTATCACGGCGTTGCTTTCTGATCAAAGCCTAAGTCTGTGTGAAAGTGATTTAATGGATGAACCCCAGTGGTTTTGACCTTCAGTCTCTCTCCTCAGGTGTTTCCTTCTTGTAAGTGTTTAACTAATTAAACAAATTAATTGCTACCTTTATGAGACAAATTAAGACTGCCCTTGCTTATCCAGTTGAGGTCATTAAAATGAGCCTTCAAAAGTGTTCTTCGGGCAGAATCCTTGAGAAACGAACACAGCTGCTTGTAAACAGACCTGTCATACAAATACTTTGTTATTGCAGCCTTTCAGCGTAAACTATTTGTAGGGTGACTTCAAGGGCATTTTGTCCAAGGACACATTGGAGACAGTTTCCCTCCATTTCTGGATGAGAAAATCATTGCACAGATTCAAAATACAAATAACAACAGGTCAAACAATAGGTTTCCTGTGGATCTTTACAAAGTCTTAAAATGTGTTGCATTTGAGTTTTCAAATTTAAGGCTGTAAAAGTAATTTACTTACATTTTAGATACTTTGGGCGAAATAAGGCTTTAGGGCTCTAATTTGACGGTCCATGCGCAAAGCGCAAAACGCAGGGCGCAAACACTTTCAGGGCGTGTCAGGACGCGTTTTTGCTAATTTAAGGACGGGAAATCTGCCTTGCGCCAAGGCGCATGGTCTAAAAGGGTTGAGCTTATTTTCTTAATGAGTTATAGGTGTGTTTTGAGAATAAACCAATTAGAGTCTCATCTCCCATTCCCTTTAAGAGTCAGCTGCATCGCGCCAAGTGCGTATTCGCTATTTACAGGACGCAAAGTAAGTCTAAGTGGAAAAAATTTGCATTTCACAAGCAAAAAGTTAACAGTTGACAGTTTTTTAACAGAAAACTGTTAAACAGAGCATCTATTGCGTGAGAATGAGAGATAAATGATCTACTTTCACTTTCGCTCTTGGATAGGGAAACCTTTACGCACAGACATCAATTAGCCTATAAATAATTAATTTCATTTGTTAAGCGCAAAGATTAGTTTCAAAATTATTTCTAAATTCAGTTCTAATTTCTAGCAAACGAATAAATGAACAATAATGACAAAGTGTGGTCAAGAGTTATTTCCAAATACACCTACCATGCCCCATATGGTCTTAAACCTGACAGGTGGGCAAATCTAAGCTTGTTTTTAATAAAACAAATATAAATATGGATATAATAAATAATACTGCTAATAATAATAACATTATACAAAAGCAAATTGTTATGAATGAACTGAAAAAGCCTCCCGAGATGAAGAAGGCATAAAAGCAGTGATTTTTCATATTTATGTAGGCTAGAAAATAATATGTTTTGTAATATTTTAATCCTTTATATTTATATCCTAAATCCATTCCTTTTATATCCTATATATATCCTTAATATTTAATTTTTTTCATATGTAAAAATATTTACCTATTGCTCTCTTGTGCGTATTAAGCAGTGCGTAAGCGAGGCGCAACTCTGCGCCGGAGTTTAGACCGGGTTAATTTTGGTCTAATGAAAAATCTATTATAGTTTCTTAAAATAGCGACGCGACAGCGGTCCGCCTCAGAACGCCTTCTTTTTTAGAACAGAACGCCTATGGGCGCACAAATGAGCGCTAATGCATTTGCTATTTAAACAGCGTAGCGCAACGCCTCAAAACGACTCTTGCGCCAAGCTGAAACTACCAAAAGACTACTGCGCCGCGTCTTGCGCCACACTGCGCCGGGTGTATGATAGGGCCCTTAATCTAATTAGCTAATTGAGGGCAGCACGGTGGCGCAGTGGGTACCACAATCACCTTACAGCAAGAAGGAT